ATCGTTGTGGCAGAAAAAATTCGCGATCAGGTGATTTCTGATCATTCTGAACCTTGTACAAAAATTTGGTATGTTACTTTTTACAGTATTAAGTTTGGTTGGGTCACAATCACCTGATCGCGAATTTTTCTGCCACAACGATCGCTATTCTACCTAGCATTATTAACGTTAAATTTTTTTGTCTATCAGTAATTGTCACCTTCAATTTAGTACTGTCTTTAAATCAACCCTGAGTATTAATTAAAATGTCAAGAATGTAATTTAGCATTCGATCGAAAACCTACTGCGACGTCCATTGTGCCTTTATTAGATTCTTTTTGTGAATTTGTAATACTTGCACAAAATGCATCATAGTTAAATCGGTTAGCCGCCGTCTTTATGTATATCTAATTTCTTTGATTACTTTAATGATGAAAAAAGCGTTGTCCACACAACGACAAACGTACCTCATGCAGGGCATGCTTTTATGAAATATTATAGCATTAATTCTTTCAAATTTGTCTTCAAAAATTTATAAGAAATAATAACGATAACTTTAATTTCTAAATTCTTAAATCGATATTGTGTGTATTTATCAGCTCCAAATTGATTTTTAGAACTTAATAATGGCAGAGGCACTGGAAATGGCTTTCAATGATGTTCAAAGCGTAGTTACTTTAGGCACCAATTCTGACATCTTAAAAAGCAGTCTAAATGTAGCCGGAAAATTAGCTGACGCAGTACAGCCTTTTATCCCTCTAATTAGTACTGTTTTTGTAGTCGTATCTGAAGTAATGAAAATTTATGAAAATGCTAAACACAATAAAAAAATTTGTGCTTCACTATTGGTTAGAGTCAATACTGCAAAGATTAATGTTGAAATCTTGCAATTTCAACCCCGAATTTGCGATCACAAAGCATTCTACAGATTTGTTGAAGTGTTAAAGAAAATAAAAAACTTCATGAATGATGTTTCAAATTTGTCAGGCTGGAAAAAATATGCAACTACGAACTCAGTTCAAGAAACTTTCACGAAATTGATTTCTGAATTTGATCAAAGCATGAATGATTTACATTTCACGATAACTATTTCTAACGAACAGCAAAGAAAATTAGACCAAGAAAATCTTAATGCTGATTTCGAAGAGATGAAACATGTAAAATTTACTGTGGAAGCTGAAGCTGAAAATTTGGGTCTAGATAAATTTAAGCTTCAACTTTATGAACACCTTAAATTTTTTTATAAATTTTTTTTATTTTTCCTGTTTTTTAGTTCCTTAAAACAATTGCTGGAGGCGTCACGGATAATAATTCTCAAATAAATACTATTATTAATGAACTACAGATTATTAATGAGAAAGTCGATCTTTTAATTCATGATTCTAATAACACGGGAAATAAATTTAGTCACTTGAAAGCAATTAAAATTAATCCAAAAGAATTAGATGATCTTCTCTACGGAGAAATAAAACTTTGTACCGGAAAATCTATAATTAGAAAACTATATAGAGGAAATGAAGTTGCATGCAAACCTACAAACGTTGTAGACAACGGGACATCTGTAAATCAAAGGATTCAAGCGCAGCTTGTAATTTTAGGAAAGCTGAAAGAGTGTCCAAATATTTTAAGATTTTACGGACTTTCTAATTTGGATGACTACCAAGTGATGGTGTTTGAATGGGCAAATAATGGAAATCTTAGAGAATTATATTTAAAACAAGATATTGATTGGGTTGAAAAAGTTCGCATTGCTCTAGATATTTGTCGTGGTTTGGTATTTTTGCATAGTTGTGATATCCTTCATCATGACATTAAATGCGAAAACATCATGGTAGATTTTATACGCTTTTTTTTTGTTAAAAGAAATTATTTTGTCTTCTAATCTTATGTTTTTATCCTAAACTGCTAGATGACCTTAAGACTTGAACCAAAAATCGCGAACTTCAAATATTCTCGCAAAACAGAACAGAATTCTACATTAATTGAAAATGTAAATGATGTAGTGCGCTGGATGGCACCTGAAAAAATGTCTAAACATAGATATAACTTTAAATGTGAAATTTTCAGGTCAGTATAATTAATTTCGTTTATTCTTGACGATTTAATAATAACCTTCACTAAATGTTGCAGTTTCGGAATGTTAATTTGGGAGTTGGTATTTGAAAAATTTCTATATGAAGATATTTCGGGTATGAATCAAATCATGGAACACGTTATAAATGGCAACCGTGAAAAGATCACTTTTGGACGGTGTTACGAAAAATTTTGTCAAATTTTTCGTACCTTGCATTTTCGCTATATAGTTTCTTTGTCTTCCTATGTAAAG